GTTGACTTGGACCTCTACGGACTGTAAGCTGATTAAATATTGTTGGAACCGTGCCGTGTGTTAACCTTTTAGTTCCAGAAAGTGTCTTCACGACTTTTTTAGTCTTAAAGTGTTCGGAGCATATATGCAAGTTCTTGATGGACGTGAACTCCTTATCAGCGCGACGACAGTAGGCGCTTCCTTTCTTTCTTAGACTCTCTTCGCCTGAAAACTCGGAAAAGTTGAGGTCCGACCTTTCAGTTATTTTTGCACACAGAAATGGCACAAAACTTCATATTCGACTTACATTCACTCCGATCTTGCTTTCAAAATAAGCGCCCCTTAGCCTCAGCTTGGTGCTAATAATTAGTTACCAGACTATGTCGTAAAAACAATTTGAAATTAGCCTACATCACCACTACATTAGAAATTGAAATCACTCTACGAGAATGAAGAACTGTTATGCGATATTTTAAATTACCCATCGAGAATGATAAAACCTTAATCGAGAAAAAGACTGATGTAGCAATATACTGAGAATTAAATATTAACTGTTGAGAATGAGAAGTTGTTGCGTGAGAAAAAGAAATCACTATGCGAGATTATCGATTACTTTTTCTGAGCCGGTGAGCAACAGCTAGTAAGCGGAATATTTCTCTCAAAACGGCGGAGCAACTTAGTGCAGAATACTTTACAAAGTTTGTTGATTCTCTAAAGAGCACCATTGAAAGGGACTTTCGTTTATCACGCATTGTTCATGTAGGATTAGAAATCTGTGCCAGGAAGCTTTAGGAATACACAACAATGCTTATCACTGTCTCAAAATTCCTCTTCAAACCTGTTTGAGCTGTTAGAATTGTCTTTAGTCGTCTTATTAAGAAAGACGTCAGATATTTTAAATATATCATGCCTTTGTCCAAAGAAAAAAATTCCATTGGCATTCTCTGCAAGTTCAGGAGGGAGACCGGCGTACATTATTACAAAGGAAATGATCGAGCAACTGCGTGAGACTAGTTTAAACTGGATAAGTATAGGAACATGCCTTGGAATCTCCGACCACAGGCAGCCCAAGCTCCAGCTGTGAGATGATCATCTTGCGAAATAGCAGTCATGGCGAAATTATGAGAGTTTATATGGGAATATTTACGACCGCTGTTGGGAATAAAAAAATTAAGTCAAATTCTCAATAAAAATACCTCACTTTACTTCCACAGTGCATCGCCTGTTATCTGACCGCTTACTATGTTTTCTAGGTTTACTATACAAGAACGGCTTGTCTAATGTTGCAAACCTAGAAATGGATAACTCGCTAAAATGGGTTCTTTTAAAAATAACAAGCTGTCAGATAACAAGCGCTGCAATTTCATGTTACAGGCAGTCTAAAATGTGGGGCTAATGCACAAATTGGCAGACATTTGGAATTGATTATGATGGTTGACTGTGATTATGACTGATATTGAAACAGAAAACAATGTTTATTGTGCCAGAGTCACAGAGTCAGCTTACAGTAATTACACAATAGGATTGACCCTCTCTCTGACGATGGAAACAATGGAATTAAGCACTTTCTGAACACTGTGACGATCATTGAAAGTTTCAGTATTGAATTTAACATTTATCAGCGTCTAATCAAAATTATTTTGATATTTCCTTTGATGATAATGGAAGTACTTGTACATGATCATTGTTATCCCTCCCTCACATAGGAAAGTTTCATGCAGACGCTGTGTTAATTACAACATAAAACATTGTGAAGATCAACCAGTGAATAAGACTGAAGTTATGCTGTTGCGTTCGAAGCTTGTATAATGAAATGGTAATAATTTTTTTTCAATAGTTTCAAAATTGTACTGAACACTAAGAGAGGATGAAACTTTTCATGCTTCACGATTTGTCTGGAGGTATAAAATGAAATTAATGACATTTTTTAACGGCTGTCACCAGTATAATTGACCCTTAATGATAACTTCAAGAATGACTCCTGAATTTTGATGTAATCTTGATGGATGCTGTTATTTTCACTGATTTATCATCGAACCATTTTCACTTTTGTAGATGCATTTATTTGGTGGTGTAAGTAGTCCACTGAAATCAGTGTAGTATTTCGCGCAATTTAAAATTCGGGCATTGATCTCCTAGAAGACACGTAATGGTAGTAAAAGCGACATGTCACCTTTTACCCCGAGTTTTCGCTTTCCAAGGGGCTGACAATTTAATATCTTGTTATGTTATGACCACTTACACTTACTACTTAAAGTCTTAGTGATATTAGAGATCAGCTGATAAAATTTTAATTTAGAGCTTGTAGTCATGAAACTTGCATATTTTACATTCCTCTCGAAAGGCTTTCTAACTTGTAACCAAACTAACTGCCAGTGACAACTGTAATGACATTTGAATAGATATAAATTTGTGACCTAATTCATTTTTTTTTCGGAAAGTTTAGAAAATGCCATCAACAGTAACTTGTATTCTGTGTTAAAAAAAAGCCTTATGCCAGTAATGTGAAAAAGTTATGCATAACATAAAAATTGTAAAAACTAAGAAGCAAATTTCAAAGTATTCATTTCAAAGCATTCTGAGTGTTCATTTCAAATTGTTCACATCTTCCATACTCAACAATACTACAAAACAGGCTTGCTCCTCTTTCAATACATTAGTGAACTCGTCAAGCAGTGCTGGGTATGATTCATATGTAGATGGAAGTTCTAGCAATGGTCTACATGTTCTGGCAAAAGGACATCAATGCTACCCTTCAAGGATAGCAAAGTGCACATCTATGTTGTGTACGTACAGTGATCACATCACTACCAGTGCAGATCCAGAGAAACATGGGTAAAGATTTGCAATTCAGTGACTCTATAAACCGTTTCAGTTGTTCAAAGGATGTCAGTTCTGCTTCAGTTGGTTCTTCAGCTCTGAATAACTTGTTCATTAATTTGGCGGCTTGCTTTAGTCTCGAGGGACTAAAAGTTTTCCTTACAGCATAATATCTTGAGAATTGGACTCCACCAGTTGATCTCTAAGAGTGATTAGTGACCATTTTCTCCTATCAGTATCCCTCTAAAACAAACATTAAGATCATGAGAATAAGGAGATGATCACGAACTAAAAGAGGCTCTTGGTTGTTAAACAAATTCTCTTTGTCAGCACCATAGGATATGCATAGAGAACAGTACGGAAAAAAAGTATGCTGATGTTAGGATGCAAAGGGTTAAAACACTTGAATAATATAAAAATTCCAAGACATCTTCATCATTAGGTTTAAAATCATCGCAAAGGCGCTTGTCCAATGTCTCTCTATCTTCTGTAGTTACAAATTGGCTAAGTCTTCATATCAACGTCTCTGAAGTGATAACTTCATCCCCATAAAGATACAAGGCCACAAAAAGATGTAACAAATTTACTAGGCAGTAATTGGCCCATTGGTAACCATATAGCAGAACCTAGGCAATGGCTTCCCACTATAGTTTCTGCATGTCATGCTCAATAAATGGGACTTTTTAATTGTTTCCAATCATCAGTGATGTGAAGCACTTTTGCCAAAGGCATGCTAAAACATTTAGAAGAACCTTGTTGCCTTCTCCCATCTCTTCTCTACCAGCAGTGGTTATGTTTAGGTTATGGTGCTTCTAGGAATGCAGAAGGAGGGGGGAACAAAACATTTGTTAACACTTATCCTCAAACTGCGACGGGTGATTTTTTAATCAATTGTTTCACTTCAATATCAATCTCCTGTGTAGAAGGCTTAACGGCCGATGATAAGGCATCACCCAAAGGCTGGTTTTCTTTTCTTTTTCTTTTTTTTTGCCTATCATGGCTTAGGCGATTTTCATAAGGCTATCAGTTACCACGAGCGCCATCTACAAATTGCAAAAGAACTGGGAGACAAAGCTGGAGAAGGACGGGCTTATGGAAGTCTTGGCAATGCCTATCGGAAGTTAGGCGATTTTCATAAGGCAATCAGTTACCACGAGCGTCATCTACAAATTGCAAAAGAAGTGGGAGACAAAGCTGGAGAAGGAGGGGCTTATGGAAATCTTGGCAATGCCTATCATAGCTTAGGCGATTTTCATAAGGCTATCAGTTACCACGAGCGTGATCTACAAATTGCAAAAGAAATGGGAGACAAAGCTGGAGGAGGAGGGGCTTATGGAAATCTTGGCAATGCCTATGATAGCTTAGGCGATTTTCATAAGGCTATCAGTTACCACGAGCGTGATCTACAAATTGCAAAAAGAAGTGGGAGACAAAGCTGGAGAAGGAGGGGCTTATGGAAATCTTGGCAATGCCTATGATAGCTTAGGCGATTTTCATAAGGCTATCAGGTACCACGAGCGTCATCTACAAATTGCAAAAGAAGTGGGAGACAAAGCTGGAGAAGGACGGGCTTATGGAAATCTTGGCAATGCCTATCAGATGTTAGGCGATTTTCATAAGGCTATCAGTTACCACGAGCGTGATCTACAAGTTGCAAAAGAAGTGGGAGACAAAGCTGGAGAAGGAGGGGCTTATGGAAATCTTGGCAATGCCTATCGTAGCTTAGGCGATTTTCATAAGGCTATCAGTTACCACGAGCGTGATCTACAAGTTGCAAAAAGAAGTGGGAGACAAAGCTGGAGAAGGAGGGGCTTCTGGAAATCTTGGCAATGCCTATCATAGCTTAGGCGATTTTCATAAGGCTATCAGTTACCACGAGCGTCATCTACAAATTGCAAAAGAAGTGGGAGACAAAGCTGGAGAAGGACGGGCTTATGGAAATCTTGGCAGTGCCTATCATAGCTTAGGCGATTTTCATAAGGCTATCAGTTACCACGAGCGTCGTCTACAAATTGCAAAAAGAAGTGGGAGACAAAGCTGGAGAAGGACGGGCTAATGGAAATCTTGGCAATGCCTATCATAGCTTAGGCGATTTTAATAAGGCTATCAGTTACCACGAGCGTCATCTACAAACTGCAAAAGAAGTGGGATACAAAGCTGGAGAAGGACGGGCTTATGGAAATCTTGGCAATGCCTATCAGATGTTAGGCGATTTTCATAAGGCTATCAGTTACCACGAGCGTCGTCTACAAATTGCAAAAGAACTGGGAGACAAAGCTGAGAAGGAGGGGCTTATGAAAAGTCTTGGCAATGCCTATCATGGCTTAGGCGATTTTCATAAGGCAATCAGTTACCACGAGCGTCGTCTACAAATTGCAAAAGAAGTGGGAGACAAAGCTGGAGAAGGAGGGGCTTATGGAAATCTTGGCAATGCCTATGATAGCTTAGGCGATTTTCATAAGGCTATCAGGTACCACGAGCGTCATCTACAAATTGCAAAAGAAGTGGGAGACAAAGCTGGAGAAGGACGGGCTTATGGAAATCTTGGCAATGCCTATCAGATGTTAGGCGATTTTCATAAGGCTATCAGTTACCACGAGCGTGATCTACAAGTTGCAAAAGAAGTGGGAGACAAAGCTGGAGAAGGAGGGGCTTATGGAAATCTTGGCAATGCCTATCGTAGCTTAGGCGATTTTCATAAGGCTATCAGTTACCACGAGCGTGATCTACAAGTTGCAAAAGAAGTGGGAGACAAAGCTGGAGAAGGAGGGGCTACTGGAAATCTTGGCAATGCCTATCATAGCTTAGGCGATTTTCATAAGGCAATCAGTTACCACGAGCGTCGTCTACAAATTGCAAAAGAAGTGGGAGACAAAGCTGGAGAAGGAGGGGCTTATGGAAATCTTGGCAATGCCTATCATAGCTTAGGCGATTTTCATAAGGCTATCAGTTACCACGAGCGTGATCTACAAATTGCAAAAGAAATGGGAGACAAAGCTGGAGGAGGAGGGGCTTATGGAAATCTTGGCAATGCCTATGATAGCTTAGGCGATTTTCATAAGGCTATCAGTTACCACGAGCGTGATCTACAAATTGCAAAAGAAGTGGGAGACAAAGCTGGAGAAGGAGGGGCTTATGGAAATCTTGGCAATGCCTATGATAGCTTAGGCGATTTTCATAAGGCTATCAGGTACCACGAGCGTCATCTACAAATTGCAAAAGAAGTGGGAGACAAAGCTGGAGAAGGACGGGCTTATGGAAATCTTGGCAATGCCTATCAGATGTTAGGCGATTTTCATAAGGCTATCAGTTACCACGAGCGTGATCTACAAGTTGCAAAAGAAGTGGGAGACAAAGCTGGAGAAGGAGGGGCTTATGGAAATCTTGGCAATGCCTATCGTAGCTTAGGCGATTTTCATAAGGCTATCAGTTACCACGAGCGTGATCTACAAGTTGCAAAAGAAGTGGGAGACAAAGCTGGAGAAGGAGGGGCTTCTGGAAATCTTGGCAATGCCTATCATAGCTTAGGCGATTTTCATAAGGCTATCAGTTACCACGAGCGTCATCTACAAATTGCAAAAGAAGTGGGAGACAAAGCTGGAGAAGGACGGGCTTATGGAAATCTTGGCAGTGCCTATCATAGCTTAGGCGATTTTCATAAGGCTATCAGTTACCACGAGCGTCGTCTACAAATTGCAAAAGAAGTGGGAGACAAAGCTGGAGAAGGACGGGCTAATGGAAATCTTGGCAATGCCTATCATAGCTTAGGCGATTTTAATAAGGCTATCAGTTACCACGAGCGTCATCTACAAACTGCAAAAGAAGTGGGATACAAAGCTGGAGAAGGACGGGCTTATGGAAATCTTGGCAATGCCTATCAGATGTTAGGCGATTTTCATAAGGCTATCAGTTACCACGAGCGTCGTCTACAAATTGCAAAAGAACTGGGAGACAAAGCTGGAGAAGGAGGGGCTTATGGAAGTCTTGGCAATGCCTATCATGGCTTAGGCGATTTTCATAAGGCAATCAGTTACCACGAGCGTCGTCTACAAATTGCAAAAGAAGTGGGAGACAAAGCTGGAGAAGGAGGGGCTTATGGAAATCTTGGCAATGCCTATCATGGCTTAGGCGATTTTCATAAGGCTATCAGTTACCACGAGCGTCGTCTACAAATTGCAAAAGAAGTGGGAGACAAAGCTGGAGAAGGACGGGCTTATGGAAATCTTGGCAATGCCTATCATAGCTTAGGCGATTTTCATAAGGCTATCAGTTACCACGAGCGTCATCTACAAATTGCAAAAGAAGTGGGAGACAAAGCTGGAGAAGGAGGGGCTTATGGAAATCTTGGCAATGCCTATCAGATGTTAGGCGATTTTCATAAGGCTATCAGTTACCACGAGCGTCATCTACAAATTGCAAAAGAAGTGGGAGACAAAGCTGGAGAAGGACGGGCTTATGGAAGTCTTGGCAATGCCTATCGTAGCTTAGGCGATTTTCATAAGGCTATCAGTTACCACGAGCGTCATCTACAAATTGCAAAAGAAGTGGGAGACAAAGCTGGAGAAGGAGGGGCTTATGGAAGTCTTGGCAATGCCTATCATAGCTTAGGCGATTTTCATAAGGCTATCAGTTACCACGAGCGTCATCTACAAATTGCAAAAGAAGTGGGAGACAAAGCTGGAGAAGGACGGGCTTATGGAAATCTTGGCAATGCCTATCATAGCTTAGGCGATTTTCATAAGGCTATCAGTTACCACGAGCGTCATCTACAAATTGCAAAAGAAGTGGGGGATAAAGCTGGAGAGAGACGGGCTTATGGAAGTCTTGGTAATGCCTTTCATAGCTTAGGCAACTTTCGTAAGGCAATCGAGTACCGTGAGCGTCATCTACAAATTGCAAACGAAGTGGGGGACAAGGCTAGAGAAGGAGAGTCATACGGTAATCTTATCTTATACTCTTAATCAATGCATATCCGAGCTTTCGCGGTTTTCATGACTCCAGCCTAAAATTGTCCTGGCAAAATCAAAGGATAAAAGTTTGTTTGAGTGTTACATCTACATTATAAATTTCAAAGTTGAAAAATTCTCTTACCGCTCGACCTAGTCTGCCAAAGGATTCCACCTCCAATTTCTAGGATTTTTCAAAGCCGTTTTAAAATTTTAGAATCCCAGAGTTTTGCGACAAAAGAGAATTTTTGCCTCTGTAGTAAACTGATTTCAGTTCAGCTACACGCTGTTCGTAGCTTTTGCGATAATTAATCGACAAGTTTATCACGGTCTTGCTTATTTAATTAATTTTGTCCAGATTTTACTTGGGACAAATTTGTCGGCGATGTGTTTCACGATTTGTCGGCCTTGGCCAAAATTTGTCAAAATTTAGTGATGACGAAAAAATCGTTTTTAATAAACAACTTTTTCGTTAGTGCGGAAAGACCCCATGTTGAACAATTTTGGTTGAACAGATATTGGGATTTAAGTGGTAGTAAATGTCCGTTATATTGTATACTGAAACCAAACACCTCAAAATAATAATTTCCCCAGCCAAAGAGGAGGATGAGGTACCTTATTACACCGGCAGGAAAGATTTGGCAGATATAGAAGATGCAACAGTAGACACTGAAGACAATGAAAAGACTTTGATCAAAAGGTATGGGTTTTTCTGCAATGACTCAGTTTTTTGCCTTTCCCATGTTTTTTTTCTCATGGATGCACAGACCATTGTAAAAAGCAGGGTTGGAGTTGCTAGGAGGTGTTAACTAATGGCAACTTTTGACAACGTGCTCTGACTAAAGAACAACCCTCCGGACCTCTTTATAAATGACAGTTACTTTCTTTTAATTTATTTTCTATTTAATCTTTATTTAATAAAGTTCATGCTTAATAACTGTAATGCTATTAAAAATTTATTACATGCGTGCTCAAATCACTGGTGATCCTTGCAATCTGATTGGTTCTCATTGACACGATTTATTGCTAAAATGCACCACTTTTTGCTCTAAAGTGCATCGATTTCTCAGGTAATGAGAAAGCTCCTCGAAAATACAGCAACAAATCAGATTTAACCGATTGTTTTAGGACATCAATCAAATTGCAGAAAAAAAGAAAGACAACTTTTACAACATTTTACACACCAGCTCAGTACTGGATAAATAACATATATGTATTTGTACCGGCTTTAAAAAAATCTTTATTCATTTAGCAACTGAATTTTGCAAATTTAAAATAAATGTAATGAAGTGGTAATTGAACTTTTGCCATGCAATTTTGGTCTGAAATCATACTGGTGATTTCAAGTCTAATGCTGCTGCACAATCCTTTGATTCAGATGTCACGCGTATGATTTCAGAACAAAGTTTACTCCACCCAGTTCAATTACCATGTTCTACAGGTATTCAACATTTTTTTCAGTGTTTCCATCAATAAAGGGGTACTTAATTATTATCAAAAATGATAGTGAATCATTTAAATAAGTGTTTTGATTTATGATTATAACTTGATGCTATTTGAGTCAAGGAAAAGCAAATTAAGGAAAAGAAAAGAAAAATAAAGAAAAATAACATTTATTAGATTTAGTTTTGAAATTGAGTGTCAATATCTGAATGAGTTTTTCAAACTGCCAGTTTGCCACTTGCATTTTAAATGCCTTTGTCATTGCTTACTCCACTTGGGAAAAATATCTTAAAATGCTGGATAACTAATTTCCTTTGTATTTCAGAGGAAAAATCGGAGGTAAGGAAGACTCATGGCACCTGAGGGAAGCTGGTGCCTCTATCAAACTTTGCAGTGGAGCTGTACAACAACCTGTGCCATTTACATGTAGATGCTTATTGTGGAACCCCAGGACCCTCTCCCCCTCCACTGCCAGTGATGAGATATTGGTTAGCAGTGTTATTGAAATATCTTATGATGGCCCACCAGATCTGGATTACAAGAAAAGTTTTGAAGGAATAAGTTTTACTGTATCTTTGATGCACAGTGCCCCATATTTGGAGGGGTATGAGGTGGTTATCAAGCAACTGACTGACCAAGAGAACAATGAATGGAAAGAACTAAAGACAGAGAATACTTGGCATGAATCAGGTAACGTTATGTTTTTATTAAATACAGGTGTGAATAACTTAATGAATAATTATGATATTCCTAGGCTCCCTTTTTCACTGGCATCAATGTCAGCATTTGAGAAATGTGCAGCTGCCCCTCTCCTAACCCAAAATTAAACCTAACTTGTAACCCGAACTTATCAGTTGACTTAAGGGAGAAGGAGTAAGTGTGCACTGACTTAGATGCGGATATCTATCTCTGCAAAACATGACCTGCTGCACTCATGATGTCAAAGTAGACTTCTTGCTTCTTCAAATTTCAAATCCAACTTTAGAACTTTTTTTTTCGTTTACACTTTAGGTGTATCCAAACAGTACGTGTAATTATTGCATAAATGTTACATGAAGTCTCCAATGCATTTTAATCACTATAAAATAAATTTTCCTCCATAACCATTTTGTTGCAAACTTTATTCTTTGAAGCATAAATATCATAACGACATCTGTAGGGGGTAACTTTGTTGTTTGAAGACTTCAAAACACAGCTGAAGGATGCATTTCCAATCATTTATTTTTATATGCAGAAACGTCAACAGTTCCCAAGTGGCTTTTCCCATTTGCACAAGCTGTTTGTACAAAATCAGCAGTTTCTTCATTTGCTGCAGTCTGGCGTCCTAAGTCTTTCACCTTTTCAAGAAGTACTACAGTAGGTCCGGAATTGACCTGTATCGTGCCTGACTTTCCTGATGTCAGTGTTCAAATTCCTCAGAGTTGTGTTCCTGTTAATCAAGATTTCTGTGTGACAATCCAGGTATATGAAACTGTATAATTATATACATGGATGAATAAAACCTTTTTCAGTTATGAAAGTAACATATTAGATTGGTGTAAGGGGATTGTCAAAAGCAAGGAGATGAAATAAAGATGCTATAAGATTACAGCCTGTACCTTCAGTTATTTCCATAGACGTGGCGGCAATATTGATGGAGAGATATCAATTAACAACTTTGAGCTAGATACAGGAGAACTGTGCATGTGTTTACATGTGTGTAAAGATACATACATGTAGTAATGTTCTAATCAGTAGTTTTGGAAACTATGAATTATTCATGGTACTTACTGTGCCCGAATGTACTCATGAATCCTAGCAATCCCCTTTTTAAAAACTGGATTTTGGAAAACTCACTTTAAGAAACAGAACATTTGTTTTTGTTTCGCTTTAATATAAACTTCAAGTTCAGATCATTCCTGTCAGTTGAATTGGTTATGTGTTTTGTACTGGTTTGCAATTAATGCAATTAGTGGATGAAGTTGAGCATGAAATCATGCATTATCAAAACTAAAGTTTGAGTTATCTGCCAAAGCTGAAGATCACGCAGACATAAGGTTTGATAGAAGAAGACACCTCCCCAAATTTTCAAACGTTTAAGAACTCTACACAGACAGAGGGCGTTGGAAACTAAGCAGGGGTTCAACTCAACATGATAACTGCAATATCTGCTGCAGATATTAGGTTATCATGTTAACTTTACGCATTATTGTTTTTTTTTATTTTATAGAAAGTTCAGTGTAGAGTTTTTTTTAATAATAGTGCTTATGTTAATGCTACATTGAACTTTAAGAGGACATTTACATTATATACTATTATTAGATAATCAAATTTCATCTTGAAATTCACTTTTCACTTCGTAAAGGATGCAAATGAACTTTATGCTGGGAGTAGTTTAACATGTCCAACATAACCTGTTTTGCTTTTGAATCAAGGTACAAGAATTTCCAAGCAGTGAGCTAAAAGGAGAGGAAGGACTTGTCGGTCCAGTTCTTTACATTTCAAGCTCTCAAAATGTTACTCTCATCGCGCCTGTAACAATAAGGATTCCTCTCACCCTCCATGAAGGAAAACAAGAGTTGGCAGAGTTATGTCCTGGTGAACTTAGGATATTACACTGTGAGTCTCTTGTTGAACCACATGACTGGAAAGACATCACAGATCGACTGGATGAACCGCCATGTCTTCTAGATGGGAAAGTGCAATTCAAGGTCAGGCATTTCTCTAGGTAAGTATTTCTCTTCGGCTTTATTTGAAAAATAGTGCGCAAGGAAATTTAACAGTATTTTAGTTTACAGTCATACATGCATCTATTTATTTTAGTGAAATATAAATTTAACAATTTAAATGATCACTCCAGTATGTAGATTCAAGGTTACTGTGCCATGGCTGATAATCATTTCCGTTGGAGTGCTTGAGCTGTATTTGGTTTTTTTTTCGATAGATTCCGTCCAGTTAAGTTGAGGAGATCACGTTTACAATCTGCTTCAGGCTTCAATGAGTTTGTAAGAAAACTTTGCAGTAGGTCTAGGCCTCAGCATGCCCGATTTTTTACGTGCTTGTGTGAGACCCGTGTACGTGGACATTTTGGACTCAAACTTTTCTGCTATCCACAAAAACTGCAACATGATGTAAACCAGCAAATATCAAGGTGTATCGTGCCCTACATAGGCGAAGGCAGCTCTTGCGAACCAGTCTGTGAAGAGGAGAAAATTTTGGTATCTCTTTCTCAGGCAATCATACCCCAAGGCACAGACCAGAAAAATGCCTTACAATTTGTGAGGTATTATAACTATCATAGAATTTATTTTTGGCCCATCAAGTACAAAGGATTTCACGGAATACTTCTAGATACAGTCATGCTAGTTTTACATAGAAGTGATCTATTCTGTCCACTGCAAAATTATACATTGTTCAATTTTCAGTAACTATGTTTCGCTATGGTTTTTCTAGGTTTCTTATCAATCAATAGGGCCATGGAGGTATACATGTAGGTTTTGTTTTGACGTGATTGTCTTCAAATGCTCGTTTTCAAAGATCCGGGAGGGCTCTCGCCAAATATGCAGTCATTTTCGGTTGTAAGAAAATATTTAAAAGCGCGTGCTTTTCTAGAAAAAAGACGAGGCTGGTGTAGTGTATGTTGGGTTTGTCCCATTTAGATTCATTTAATTTCATTTTTAACAGATTCCGCGAGAACGAAGTTTATGATATAGGTGGCGAGGTTTGCTTAGGAAGTGAGGGTGTTCCAGGAGTGAAGTTTTACAACCAAAGTCAGGAACTTTTGTGCAACGTGACCATAGTATTAGCATCTCAAGTAGGTTATATTTTTACAGTTTGTGGATTTGCCACTTAAATGCACTTTTAGCCCAGAACTAATATATTACTGATGCCAACCTTACTATAGTATATGACAGTGAACTAAAAGGATTAGTAACGCTGTAACCACAGGTAACCCAAGCCCCAAGTGTAAAATGGTCATCATGCGAAATAAGAGTCATGGCGAAAATATGAGTGTGTATGGGAATAATAACAACCCCTCTTGGGAAGTAAAACCACCGTCAAATTCTCAATAAAAATATCTCACCTTACTTTCAAAGTGCATTGCTTGTTGTCTCACCGCTTACTATGTTGAAAAGAAGCCATTTTAGCGAGTAATTCATTTCTAGGTTTCCTACTCCTGAGAGTGGTTTATTTTCCAGAGACACTAAGTTGGCAGCATGAGTTCTTGATACACTGATATAAATGTTTACACTTCCCGTAAACATTATTGTTTGCTAATGTTTCTTATACGCTAAATATGAAATTTAACATGACTGGGATAAGCTTTGCTGTATTCATTTCACCAAAACAAATCCAGCAAATACTTATCAAAATAAAGCAGCCGGTCCTTTAATCAAGTTCTTTTTGTAATACCAGTGGTAATCTGGAAAGAGAGAGGTATCTTCTTGAAAAACCGTTTTTTTGGGGTTAAATAAGCGCTGAGTCGATAATAGTCTTGCAAATTTCGTCATCAAAAGGTTTCCGAGGAAGATAATGAGGTCATTTTAAGGCGGCAAGAACCTTATTGAGGACAAATCACTGGAAACAAAATACTGATGAATGTCGTATAGGGAAAGAAATGTCCTGCCCATAGGAAACAGTACATGAACATGTAGGACCTTGCAAGTTTTTGATTTAAGTCTCTTAATATGCCTCTGCTTTCTTCTCTCTTTTTTTTTTTTTTTGATTTTTCTTATTATTTAGCAATTGTCCTAATTTCCTCATTTCTATTCTCTTCATGCGCATCCGTAATATTGCGAATTTTCCCTCCTACACTTAGGTTCCTGTTTCTGTCACCTTTGATCATGAAGAAGGAAGCGGTAAGGTGCTGTTTTTGTTGTTGGTTTCGTTGTTGTTCGAATAAATACAATAATTATTTATTAGATCAATCACCTTCGTTCGAAAATATGCAAACTCAGAAATGCAGGCCTTGCGGGTTTTGAAAATTTAGCATTTAGTGACAAAGCAACGTGTTCTCAACGGAAAGTCATAATAACCTGCCTTACTTCATGTGTTAATTAATCGAAACATGATTCCATCATACTCGAGGGTGATGGCCTATTGTCTGTTTCGTAGCAATAAACTCGATGCAGGCCTTCACAGTATGTGTGTCCTTCCTTGTAAGGCATTTGATACTGGAAACGAGTGAAGCGCAAACAGCTTGGGAAAGACACAAAAATGTGTAATTCTCTAAAATATTACTCGATTGGTTATATCGTTAAAATAATAGAGTAACTCTAAAGTAAGAAATCCTTCGCAAACTACTATTGCTTGACTCGACTGTCTCCTTATAACAGCCCCCTTTGTCAAATTTGTCAATGCTCATTGTTACTTAGAGGAGAAATTGACAAAACTTACGAGTATAATTCGTGAAGGTTGGGTGTTACCCGGACGATCACAGTCCAGGATCACCACACCATCGTTTTGGAACCATACGCGCCATAACACTTGCGTTCGCTTTCAACCCAGCCATCTCATTAACCCCATTATTGTGTTGGTATTTCAGCCCCAAGAGTGAAACATTCAATTGTAAAGCCTTCAAATTTGGAGTCATCATCATGCAGCCCAGTTGCAACCCCTAGGAAAAGGAAACGGCAATCTGCAGGTAGTACCGAGATTAAAAAGGTTGCGATGGATTATCCTTTTTATTGTATATTCATCAGGTTTACATATTGTTGTTACACGTTTATCTATGGTGAAATTTGTTTATACCGAAAGACTGGCATTACACTATTTACACCTTGTTATAATGTGAATATTATAAAAAAATAATGAATTAAAACAGGGCGCTATAACTAATCCAACACCCGTGTATCGCGACCAACTATCACCTATTCCAGCATTAACGGCTGGAGACTAGCTAAGAGACATTGTTAATGACCTCCATTTTGTATATATTTGTGGGGCCATACACCATAACACTCGCGTCATTCATAAACCCAGCCATCTCATTAACTTCATTATTATGCAGGTATTTCCGCCCAAAGGGTGAAACATTCAACTGTAAAATATTCAAATGTAGAATCATCACCATGCAGCCTTGTTGCGGCTCCTAGGAAGAGGAAACGGCAATCTGCAGGTAGTGCCGAGATTTAAAAGGTTGCGATGGATTATCCTTTTATTGTGTATTTATAAGGTTTACATATTGTTGTTACACGTTTATCTATGGTGAAATTTGTTCATGCAGAAGGGAAAAAGATACGCCAATCAGTAGGTAGTACCGAGGTCGAAAATGTTTTGATGGATTTTCCTTTTTATTGTATTTTTATCAAGTTTGCATGTTGTTGTTACACGTTTATCTGTAAGAAATTTTTTTTATGCAGAAAGACTGTTATTATATTTATTAGACATCCTTTATACCTTTAGCTATAATGCGAAGAGAATAAAAAAATAAGGAATTAAAACTAGGTGCTCTCACTAATCCAACACCCGTGTATCATGAACAACTATCACCTATTCCAGCATTAGCGGCTGGAGATTAGCTAGGAGACATTGTTAATGACTTCCATTTTCTAGATGATTGTCAGGCCATAAGCCGTAACACTTGCGCTAGTTCTCAACCCAGAAATCTCATTAACTCCATTATTATGCAGGTATTTCCGCTCAAAGTGTGGAACATTCAACTGTAAAGAATTCAAATGTAAAATTATCGTCATGCAGCCTTGTTGCAGCTCCTAAGAAGAGGAAACGGGATTCTGCAGGTAGTAGACAGATTGAAAATGTTGCGATGGATTATCCTTTTTATTGTAGTTTTATCAAGTTTTCATACTGCTGTTACACGTTTGTCTACGATAAGAATTTGGTTATGCAGAAAGACTAGCATTTTATTTATTAGACATCCTTTACACCTCGTTATAATGCGAATAATTATTTTAAAAAATAAGGAATTTAAACTGGGCGCTATCTCAAATCCAACACCCGTGTATCTTGAAGAACTATCACCTAGAGAGCTGGAGACTAGCTACTCGGAGACGTTGTTAATGACCTCCATCTTCTATATGTTTGTCGGGCCATACGCCAGAACACTTGTGTTACTAAGTTCCCAACCCAGCCATTTCATTAACTCCATTATTATGCGGGTATTTCCGCCCAAAGTGTGAAACATTCAGTTGTAAAGCATTCAAATATAAAACCATCGTCACACAGCCTTGTTACGGCTCCAAGGAAGAAGATATGCCAATCTGCAGGTAGTACCGAGATTGAAAATCTTGCGATGGATTTTCTTTTTTGTATTTTTTCAAGTTTGCATATTGCTGCGCAGGCGGTCCAAGCTCCAGCTGTGAGATGATCATCTTGCGCAATAACGGTCATGGCGGAATTATAAGAGATTGTATGGGAATATTTACGACCGCTCTAAGGAATAAAAAAAAATTCGTCAAATTCTCAAAAAAAAATACCCCACCTTACTTCCACAGCGTATTGCTTGTTATCTGTCCGCTTACTTGGATGAAAAGGACGCATTTTAGCGAGTTGTCCATTTCGAGGTTTTCAACGTACATAACTTGAGAAAAACCCAAGGCTAAACACTCCATTTCCGAACGCCCGATCAGAGAAGCGTAAAATTCCAACTTTACTGTATATACTGTACTGTATATAATGTAGTTTCATTTCAATTCACTACGAACTCAATCTTCCCCGTGCAACCGACGCTAAGCCGCAGTTCGCTTCAAAAATTTCCAGTTTCAGAAATAAGAGGTCAGAAATAGATGAGTCTGTAAAACTTTCTGAGCGTTTTATTTTATGGGTTGGGAAAATGGTTGCCCTGCTGCTGCAAATGTCTCCTCGCCCAAGCTTGACAATCTCTGAGGCCGACGATTCGGTATTGAATGATACCCAAAAGAGAAGTCGCCTTTCGCCACAACTGTTCGCTATTCGCCAAAGCCTTGAAGCATCCCTTTTCTAATTTTTTTTATCCTCCCTCTGTTGTTATCCTCAGATAAATATATTGTTAAAGATGGTGAACCATCAGATTGCGAGTTGGAATATCTGTCCAAGGAACTTGGAGTGAACTGGGAGGAATTAGGAAGACGCCTGAAATTCAACCAAGCTGCCTTAACTAACTTTGATGAAGCCAATACGGGGCTGGCAAAGAAGGCTTTTAAAATGTTAATGGCTTGGAAACAAAAAGAAGGCTGCGAAGCCACTTACGCAGTTTTGTACAGTGCCTTGTGTCATGAACTGGTGGAATGTAAGCGTCTAGCAGAACAGTTTTGTTGCCGGTAGAGATCGTAGGCAGTGCCTCTCCGTAGTCTTATATTATAAAGACTGAGTCGTTTCTCTCACATGTCTTTGTGAGTACTCCAAAGAGCGTCTGCGTCGAACATTCGCGCTTAGTAGGCCGTTCATTTTGACTTGTGCTTGAAGATAAGGGGAAAATTAGCTTTAGAGAATATATATTTACTCGTATTTTCGAATCAAGAACTGCTGGCTAAAGAGCATTGAGGTCGGCATTCACTCGAATGTCCAGAGCATGTTAAGCACATTACCACCCTGAAGCATCTCATTTAATATCTCACAGCTTTGCACAAATTTTTTGATCCTGAGCTTTTGTTTTGTTCTTGAAAAGTTTGAAAGGTCAATAACAATCAAATACACAATTTTCTCTTCCTCAGACTCAACTCTCATTATTCTTCAAGGTGTATAGAGGCTCCCCTCTATGGAAAGTTCAACAATACGTTCACCCCTGCTACGACGAGTTGTTCCCATCAAATAAGATATAGATTTGGCCAGGCCTAAAAGCCAAGCCTACAAGCAGGGCTCCAGTCAGTTTATTTTTCAGCCCTTCACCTTATTAAAACTCCTAAGCACTGGCTGTCGAAGAGTTAACGGGGTGTGGAACGGAAGGACGATATTCTCACAACTTGCAAAGCGATCAACATGCATGCTAGTCAGCGGTATTTTCAAGCAGCTGAAGACTTTCGTTGATGTTCCTGATGGTTTGAACGGATTGTCTAGGATATAGAATGTTTTCTTCTTCAGATGTCGTGTATCACGTCAGTATCAGTTGATATGATATTTTATTGCGCGTGATTATTAATTTCTGTTTAGATTGTATGAAACAACGGTAAACGACTTTGAGTTAAGATCTAGATTTCACCGGTCGATTGATCGATAGGTATACGCGAGATAAATAGTGAGTGAAACAATACTCCTGAATCGTATTGGATTCTCTTATATCTTCTCGTGATGTCGTCTTTTATGACTTTTTTTACTCCACCGATTTTTCTCGAACGTCTCAAACTCCTCTAATAAGTATAGAAAATTAACAAGATAAGTCACTTTTCAACTCGTTTTCATATTCAGTTTCTCCTCTTTTAACTGCTCTACCTGGAAATACCTCTGATGTAACTTCAAATATCAGTGTAAATGTCTCTAAACCAACTGTCCTCTATCCTGGCAACTCTAGCCACTGAAATACTTAATTTTTCTACCATCTGTTTCTTGCGCTGCGAAAGTTTGATTTTACCAAAGACAAGCTAGAACTAGAATGTATTTGTACATTACAGAAATTGATCCAAATATCAATCAAATTTTATATTTAGTTTTAAAGTTGACTCGATGTTGTTATTGACAAATGAAAGAGGTTCAAAAGTTTTATGTGGTAGCCTCTATGAATTTCAGTCCTGGAAACGGGTTGTGGCAACATCACGGTTACCATGAAACACAACAATGCATTTCATTTATCTATACCACGTACGATACCTACGTGGACCCTTACCATGAAACACATCAATACGTTTTATTGAGAAATGGATTGATGCTACTCTGGTTTACAGATTTAATGAACGTAACCGAAGGAGTTACAATTCATAGACCCAACGTTTCGACACTCCTGTCTAGTGCCTTCACCAGGGGTGATCTAAACGCTACAACAAGAGGTCCTTTTATATGATCACTAATTAGCTGCCTTTTTCCTGACGGGGTGTAAATAGGTGTCAGGAGGTCAGCCGCCATCATCAAGGAGCGTGGGCTAGCGTAATCTTAGTAATCTTATTTACCTAAGCGTACAGGGACGAGCTGCGTTATAAGTTCGAAGAACTTCATGGATTGGAATAAATACATTTATTTCTTTCTCAAGCATCTGAACTGTGCCCTTGTTCTTGAGTATGGTTCGGGCACAGTTTTTCCCAGTAAGGACCTCCCGGCTGGCGGATAACATATATTTCATATTAAACTGATGGGGTACAAATAGTCTTAGCATGAATGTAGTGACCACGCCCACTTCAACACACCACTCAAATCGAGTGTAATTTTCGAATGTTTTACCATCGTGTACCTCTGAAATATTAAACTACAATATTGTGGCTTTCTATTTCGCTAATTTTATAACTTGAGGGTAAAGGTTTTCCCTCATCATTTTTACCTTTTCTCCGAGCGGTTGCGTGAAATTAACAAGGCGTTTTTGATCAAAACAAGACCGAGCGAAGGGTCTCCGGCGATATCTCTTTTACGCAGGCGCAAATTACAAATGTACCACCAGAATAAAAAAAGAGAAACAAATTTCCTTTGTTTTGATTTGTAAAGTGTCGAACAAAAAGCAGATTTAACCTCGTCAAATGGCGTTTCAAAACAGCTGTATCCTCCTCCTTTTGATTTTTTCTTGTTTTGTGAGCGTGAAAGCAGTAGAAGAGGGATCGGGAAACTCAGAAAGCGCTTCGGGAATTAATCTGCCATCGTTTACTTGCAAGATAAAAAAGTAAGATTTGTGAAGTTCGTTGAAGTATGAAGTCTAAATAAATGCCTTTTTTAAGCTTGTTTGCTAGATTTTTTGTAAACTTCCCTGATTCATTTTTGCGTTTCAGCTTACTAATCTATACTATTTCAAAGCAATGTAAAGACGAAGACGGAGAAACATGAGTCGGTCCTTTCAACAATCGTAAACAAAGTGTTTGAGCAATCAGGTATACGAGGTGTAAAAATCAATAGCCGCATATCAGAAGTCTTCAGAAAGAAAGTATTCTGTCTTCAGAAAGCTGTCAAGAAAGCTAGTGATCGTGGCGGAAGGCAATTAAATGCACTTCTTAGCAAGTTGGAAACGGGCCCTCGGTATCGATTTAATATCATATCGATCTAAATATCATACAGTTTTGTATCTTTCTTCCGTGGATTCGCCTTTCTAACGAGAATGTATGTTGAGTATTCATTGCAAAATCGCTTTGTTTTTTTTTTTATTTCCCTCTTTGGCTTGTTCATCATTTTGAAAATTCGTAACGGAGAGCATGCGCATTACGTGGGGTTAGTGGTTGCGTACACCTGGAACCGAGAAAAACAAATGTTCGTCGCACTGGGGAAAGAGTTTGATATGATTTTTTTTCTCAGAGGGCACGGTAACGAATCCTGCAATCTGATTGGACAATTGGCCGCCTAAATTTTACCACAATGGGCACTTGGGCACAGTGTGTGATGGTAACTGGACGGTCGGGGGTCTGGTCCAATCTGGATGGATGAAGTCAACTGCTAAGGAGGAGAGGCAACTTTATCTCATAGCAGAAGCAATGATTGGGGAGTTCAAAACTGTTATCACGAAGAGGATGCTAGAGTGGTGTGTAACATCTGGTTGGGCCGTTCAAACAGTTTTGCTTGACTGACACTTATGGCTTGATACAGGAGCAATCAAACTTGTTGTAGGATAGTCTCAATGGGGTTTAACTGTCAGCCGTCAGAAATAACCGTCATCCGTTAAAGCTACCCCCAATTGAGACCCTCCTGTAGTGTCTTCCTTGTTGAGAATTGTAGTAACGTCGAAGGTAGCGGCACATTAGCGCAAAGAGAAGATATCTCATAGAATTGCAGCGCATCCTTTCTTTGCATAATTTCCCTTGTCCTTGTCACCGACGCTCCTCCCCCCCCCTCACTCATTATTATCAATGATTTCTTTCGCTCCCCAAAATTTCCGTTGCCGTAAAAATAAAAGATTGCAAAGACACCTGCATTGGTTTATCGCCCCAATTAGGCCAAGGCCATACACAAAAACTTAGATGTACAAAAACATTAAAATCACCTACAACTGTACTTCATGTCGCACACATGGCGATCGTAATCATTCAGAAAAAATCCATATGAAGTCCACTCTATCTTGACGAATTAGAATTAGAACTAAACTTAGATTACAAGATTAGATTATAAGAACGATAAAACGTAATCGGATAAACACTGAAGTCGCCTTCAGCGCTCGAATTGTTGTTTACTAATGTCGGTGTTTTTGTGCCAATACACATCAATACCGCGATATTGTGAAGAGTTGTTAATAAATTCAACAACCGTCTAAACAAAGTCAGGTTGAAAAGTTTCGTGCCACACAAGCATTTCACACCAAGTTTACTGCAAACGTGACAATTATTCGATGGACCATGCCTTCAGAAAAGCTTTCTATCCACCTCAACCTTGTTTGAGTCTCTTTTTCGGTTTTGTCTGAGGACTTGCGAAATCCTGCCGTGATAAGAATAAATTTCGGAACTAATTGACAACTGACAAAACTTAAAGAAAATGAACCATTCATAAGATTTTTTTTCTTAAGTTTCTTCAATTTGTTGTTTCCCAGAATTTTTTAAGCGTGTTTAAGAAAGCTATGTGGTCTGTTTGTTTGATTGTCTGCTAGTACGTATCACAGAGACAAGTGATTCCGAACTTCCGGTTGTAACACAATTCATTTCCGCTTTGTCGCTCCCAACCAACTTATTACCCAGGATACATCAAGCGTTCTTCAAGATGGTGGACGAAGAAGAGTGAGAATTTATGTGAAATAATGAGCTCAAAGGGAAAAGGTTACAGGAGAATCTCAGGCTTGGCGAAGCCTCTTGCGGATTGCAAAACAGAGGTAAGATTTTAGTCGACACATGTGTTCGCTACGCCTAAGTAGTACGTGTAGTTAACACAAGTAAGTGCGTTTTTATAAAGTCAGGTTCAAGATTGTTCAAGACTTGGTTATTCAAATGCCGGTACACGTTGCTGCAAGGGGTTGTAGCTAGGGATTGTTCCAGTTTCTGCTTACATTCCTTTTTCTGCAGAGCATTGCTCGTATTAATCTTTACCGTGATAAATAACCCAGTAGGAAAGTTATTATAAACCTAGAATAAAAAATATATACATGTATATATCGAAGGCACGTGAAGTTTGGTTTGTTTATTTATAATTAAGCTTACATAGTGCTAAGGATTTACATTTGTTTTTCTCATGGGAAAAAAAGCGATTACATGTAGTTGCTGCTTAAAATGAATTCTTTAGAACAAATTTATCTCCAGGTTTTTTTAAAATTATTTTTTGTCTTGTTTTGCGTTGTTTTGTTTCGATTTACCCTTCAACATAATGCAACTTATGATTAAATTAATTAGGTGTAGAATGGATTCTTTGCTTCACCAATGAAATGAAACAAAAAAAAGTCTAGCGAAAGTCATATTCATTTTTGATGACTGCTTATCAAATGATCACAGCATGATGAAATGTGGCTACTGAAGAGTAGCCACATGTCAGCTGTTAAAGCACTATGGTTGTGTGATCTCTTGGAAGATTTATTTGCTGCTGCACTTTGGGATTATAGAGAGTTACTCAACTGTTCAATAAGTGTCTTCTTCTGAGTTTCAAATTTGGCAAAGGGTGCAATCTCACCCCCTGATATAACTTACCTTAAAAAAAGGGAACTTTTAGAAATAAATGAAACACACTGTTGCTTCCAAAAATCACATTGATAAAATTTGTTTTAAATTTGTATATTTTTTCTTTCCATAGCATTTTCATTAAGCTCTTTTGTTTTCAAGTCTGTCACTTGCATCGATTTTTTGTAACTTTTTGTCTTAATTTACCTATGTTTGTATCATTTGTATAAGCTCTTTGCTGTAAATTTTTATTATTCTGGTTTATAGTTTAACTTTGCTGCATCATTTTTCTTCGTCACTTTAAATGGTTCTCCACTGTCTTTAACCAGCCATTTCTTCTAGGATCTCATGTAACATTTGTTATTGTCTTTTGTTCTCCTTTATTTTGTTTTCTTGTTTGTCTATTTCTGAAGCAACTTATTATTTGTAATTTTATTTTAGCAACCACTTCCTTTGTTCACCTTGCTTTGATTCTTCACTTTTTTTGTTTTGTTTGGAAGTATATTAAAGAGCATGTTTTTGTTTGGACCGTTAGATTAATTTTGGCCATTATGAGCACCTCTGGGACTGTGATTCTCACTAACCACAAAATTTGCATTGTTTTCTCTCTTTAATTTATCTTTTTTTGAACCAATGATGCTGTTGTTTTCTCCAGCTTATCAAAATTTACGCAGCAAGTCTCTGGCATCCTGTATTCTTCTTTATAATTTTCCCCCTGACCTGCATACCTGCTTCTTGATTTATATATTAATGATAAGATATTATCCAATAAATCTGTCCTGAAGAGATGTTTGGTTGCCTTCAACTATGATTCTTTTTTGCTCATTATATGATGGATGACAACCCAATTGGTAGCCTTTGAAAACCCATGTCTTTTGTTAGAAAAAAGAATGCTCATGCCAGAGGTTTGTATTATGAGTTATATTGCAGCTTCCCTCTTTTTGCACCAAATGGAGGCTATTACAGATTGTTTATTATCCTTCAAATATTTTTCAACATGCAAGAAACATTTTTATGAACATACTACTATTTATGGTTTGTCAGTGATCTCTGAAATGATTTTATGAACAAAAGAAGCATGTTCTCTATAACAAAGCTTTTCATCTTGAATCAAAACTTAAACACAGAGTTTTCCACATTGGATGTAATGTTTCAAAATTGAGGAATTATGAGGTATATCCTTGGATATATCCGATTTTTAGCTAGGGGGATATTCTGTCATGTGATGGGTTTAGACCATTTGCCCACCAGCAAATATATTTGTAGGATTATAATGGAATTATTGATCATGAGTAATTTTTTATAGAAGTAAGGTAGCTGAGGTATTAAAGTGTAATGTGTGGTCTTGTAATTAAGATTTTAAAATATGAAAAAAGAAGAAAAAAAACAGAGACAAAGAAACTAACTTTGTTTTGATTGTTTTTAGGCTCAATCAATGTTATAGATAGCACTGTGTATAGTGTTCAATTCTGTCTAAAACTGTCTCCTCTCAGCCAACTACCTGAAATCTTCCAAGAGCTGAGAGTTGACTCACTCAACTGAAAACCTTACACAGTTTGTTTTTAGTATGGCTGAGAACATGCTGGAGATTGTTTAAATGCTCAACCAAAAATTTGTCTTCAAGTTGTCTTAGATATTTTATTTCATTTAAATGTTTTTTTTTTCAGGCCCTTCTTTATGGAAACTGTGTGTCCCAGAAAGACAGCAGTACCAAACATGCCTGTGATAAGGAGTTTTGAGCTCTTAAAGCCTGTATGAGACAAGCAGTAAGTTTCCTGGTGGACTGATCAGGCTCTCTTTTCTTTCTGTGTTTAATCAGCTTGGGTACCATCATGATGTTAGATTTCAAACCGCAAACTCAATTATCATAACAAGATAGTGAAAGGGGACACAAAAGTGCCCTGTCAGGGTTGGCAGCTATCTTCTACCCAGTGACAGACATCTAGAATAATTCTAGCAATCAAGAGACAAAGCACAATTTAATAACAGGAATTTATTGCCTTTAATTCTGATTATCACCTTGCAACAACCAATTACATTATCTAATTTACTAGCATAAAACCCATAACAAATAAAGCATTCTTTTCCATGTGATAAAAGTAGCTCTGGCACATCTGTTGTACTGAGTGATTTACTACAAAAGTGAGCCAAGTGATTAAATTGTTAGACAATCAACTCTACTGATCGTTTCTTAAGTGTAGTTCAGTAAACCCAAGTGAATAGGGCTAAGTTGTCAATAAAAAGTGGGGTGTTAAAAAGAGGAAGCCTTGGTTTTAGGGTGCAATACATTCTTTGCCATACTTGTCCAGAGTTTGTTTCAGATCAAACTTTGTTAATGTACTGAAACATAAGTACTTAATGACCGGCTTCAAGGGACAAAGTGAGTTTTCTTTCCCAAGACTCTCAAATGTTCCTGAGCTGGGGCCAAAGGGGAAAATTAGGGTCAAATAAAAAATAGTTTTTGAGGTGGGAGGTATAACATCATGATTTTAAACAATTGCAAAATAATTTTGATTACTTACATACTTAAACATGTACTCTCAAACTCTTATACTCTCAAATTAGTCAGCTTTTATCAGAATTAATCAGGTTCATACTTTATAATGCAATGGTACTTTCCCACATTGAAAGAGGGATGGGGTTTAAAATTTCATTGTCAAATTGTTGGTGTCCTTTTTTTGTTATTTCTCCTCGATTTTAATTATCAGTCATCAGAAAAAATTAGGGACTTGAGATAAATAAGAGACTACAGCATGTCACTTAGACATAAGACTGTTGTGCTTTGTCTACTAAAGTTCAAATACTACCTTTAAAATAATCTAATGATAATCAATATATACTGGAACAAAAATTTTGTTTCCTTCCTGGTTGGTCTATTGTGAATGAAGTGATAAAATAACTTATTAAGTTACTTATTATGTTACAGGTTTTCCCTACCACACACTGGCCTGAAATTAAAGCTTTTAAAGATAACTAAACAGCACTAAACTTTTTCATTGTTAAAGAAAAAAAAGATTAAAATTTGATGTGTCCATAACCCTCTGCAATCTAATGAATAGTCAGATTGCACAATATAATTATCTTATGGCATTTTCCAATTGGTTGAAAATATTTTAAGAAATGTGCACCAGAAATTTACAAAGAGCAGTATTTGTATGAGGTTTTGTTTATAACATATCTGCATACATAAAACAGCATAAACAGCTCTTGCATTTCATAATTTATGGTTACTCATAATTTGTTATAAAAAGTTTTCAATAAGCACTCCCATAGCTTGTGCACTTACCAAAGCTTTCTAAACATCACTCATGCCTTTTAATTAAGAAATGTACTTGAGCTCATGGGATTTCCCTTACAAATACATGTGAGATTAAATTAGATTCGTAGAATTGAGCAATAGAAAAAGAGAAATGAAATTCATCATATTTGGAAGATCGATGCTCATGTAATTGTTCTGCCATTATACACATTTCCATCTGCAGCCTGTGCTCACATGTGCCAATTCCTGCAAGAACACACTGTCAGCTAAGGAAATCATAGAAGCACAATGATATTATAAAATCCTTCATACATACACATGCAATTGGTATTGTCTGTTTTAACCCTTTAAACTCTAACATCTTGTATATGTGTATATTCTCCATTCTTTTCTCTATGCATTTCCTAATGTTCTGACAAGGAGAATTTGTTCAACAATCAAGAGCTTTTTTTCGTTAGTAATTGTGTCCTCTATTCAGTCTCATGATAATAATGATAATTTTGGGATAATATTGCAAGGAGAAATTAGTTACTTGTCACTATTTGGGGCTAAAGGTTCAGAGAAAGTTAATGTTTAAACAGTAGAAAACCTGGTGTGCCTGGCCTTTTTTTTCCTATGGGACAAGTTGTAAGTAAAATAGGGATTCTTATCAATGAAAAATTTATTACGTATTTAATTTTTTTACCTCTCTTAAGTTTCCCTCTGGTTTGATGATGTATTTTTGTTGCAGGCAAAGAAAATTTAAGTGTAAAACTTGAAAAGAGAGAACGACCACTCCTGTTGCAGCAAAGTTCAGAGACAGAAGACGCCATAGGGGACTCACTCACTTTTGCCTGGGATAAAAAAAATGTTGTAACGAGATTTTTGGGCTAGTGGAAACTTAAAAACAATGTAATGGACATCCTTGTGCTCATTTTGAATGCTATGATTTTACTAGTTTTTTAATTAGTTTTTTTTTTTTTTTTTTTTTTTCAGGTACTAGGCAGTTGAACCCATGAAGAACAGAAACATCAGTCATCGAAAAGAATACTGGGCATATGATCGTAAAGAAGTCAAGTTTTAACTTAGTTTGATGGCTTGTTATTGAACTTGTGTATTCTAATGATGTCGCTTGTTAATTGTCATCTGAAATCCGCAAGTTTTAATATTTCTACCTCAGTGTCCCCATCCTCTGTCCCTGAGATGTCAAAGTGGCAGTTGCACTGTGTGATGCTGATAAGGATTTGTTATATCCTATTGTGGCTCTCTTTTCCAAGCTTTTGAAAAGAGTATCTATTAAACTAAAAATGCCAATGGCTCATTTCACCTCCGTTGGATTTTGTAACAGAAAGATGTACAATACCCTACTTACAGCCTACCACACCACAGGAAGCCCAAACTTTTACATTAACACTTTGATAGTATATAAATACTGCAAAGATATAAACATTGTAAACTGCTGCTTATAATCCCCAACCCCCATTTATAAGCCTTCTCTCCCCCCCAGGTTGAATGCCCATCTACCATTAAACAACAATATATAAAATACAAATATTAATAAAATATAAAAGAAAAATTGAATACTAGGAGGGCAAAGATGATCTTTAAGGGAGAAGTCTGAACTTCAGCTTTGTTATCTTGCAACTTTGTTCGTATTGTTAGTTTTTTTTAAATTCTGTTTTAAATGTATTGAAACGAGTTTGAATTATTTTGACGTTTTGAAGCTTAATTGAAGAAGAAGAAGAAGACTTTATTTATTGAGGATAGCACGTGATAGTGCACAAACACTAATAAACTTGTGGTCCTCCTAATTACAATAAATATATAAATACAATAGAATCATTAATAGAATGAAATATAAATAGAAAATTAGCCAAAACAAGTAAGAATATATAAAACCACTATCAATAAAATTTACGGATTAAAATGAGCTAAGCATGATTGGTCCTTATAGTAATATTTAAATACGTTGTCTTTAAAGGCCTTAAGTGTATTAGACTTTTTTAATTCAGGCTTTAACTGATTCCATAACTTCATGGCAGAAACCAGAAAAGTTTCCCTCCTTCTCTAGCCCTTTTAAACTTAGGTAATAAAAAGTTGTATTTACAAAATCTAGTGTTGCGTGAATGTACTGAACTTAATAATCTTAAGCTATCATTAAGATAATTAGGTACACAATAATTAATCCTTTTAAATAGTATTGAACATTTAGCCATCTTAGTAGAGTCATAAAATGGTATCCACTTTAAACGATTGAATAGCATAACTGATGAACTACGTGGTTCAGCATCTAATAAAACCCTAGCAGCTCTCTTTTGTAGCCTAAGTATTCTTAAAAGAGATTCATTAGAGCAAAGTGACTGCCATGCAACATTGGCATAATCAAATAATGGCTTAATTAAACTATTATAAAATAAAAGTCTTTGGTTAAATGGTAAACAAAGTTTGATCTTATTCAAAATTCCAATTCTTTGTGAAATTTTTTTTACACAGTCTGTCAACATAAGTGTTCATTGATAAATCGTGGTCAATGTCTATACCAAGAAGTTTAGCTGAGGGTACTTGTTCCAATGATACACCATTCATAGTTTTAAGAGATAAATTATAACCATCTGGTAGTTTCTTCCCAAGGCGTTTGCCTGTGACCAGTAGTGTTTTAGTCTTTTTTTCATTGAGAGGAAGTTTATTGGTGTGCGTCCAGCATTCAATTTCCTTCAAAGAAGCAGCTAGTGAATCTTGTAGAGAATCAACCGCTGAGATATCTGCCGATAATGTCAGTGTGGTGTCATCAGCATAGAGATCCAGGTCAGCACCATTAACATGTAGAGGCAAATCATTGATATAAATGACAAAAACAACCAATAAATGCAAAACGCATTCTGATCAGCGCCCAGCTAGTTTCGCTTTTTCTATTCTGTTCACAAGCCCCCTCGGACATAGGGCCCTCCGTTTATAGGCCCTCTCGGATACAGGCCCCTTCGTTTATAAGCTCTTCTTAAACCTCTAACAAAGTTGTATAGTCGCTGAGCTTATAATCGCTATATTTCGGTATATTTGTGTTGTGGATCATAAAGGATTGGAATAGTCACATTCTCAACTTGAAAGTTTGATTCCGTTTTCATTGAGAACAAAGATAACACTGCCTTTTTTCGAATTTTTAAGACTGTTTTACGGCTGATTAGCTCGCTGTTGAGAGAGGCAAGAGAGGGAACTGAGAGCTACCTATGCGGCCGTAAATCAGCTCAAAAAAAAACTTACAAAATTCAAACGAACAAACAATATAGAGGCAAGTAAAGTTATTTATTGAACAGTGTTTCAAATTTCTGGGCCAAGTATGCAACAGTTTGTTCTCAGACAAATCCTCATACCGTCGTTCGTCGGCTAAAATAATCATCATATTTGCATAGTTTTAAAGGCTTACTTGCGAGCTTGGGCTGCCTGTGGGCTCAGTCACGCATTCAGCGTAGAACTTAAAAAACAAGAAAAGAGTGGAATTACCAAAAATGCGCCATTTATTTTAAATGGGTGGAGACGGGGCAGGGCTGATGAAAATGAGCGAAAAAGCTGCCGTAGGATCAGGAACTTTAACTCGCCCGGTTCTTCGCTCGTCTCCAATCCACTGACTCAGAGTCTCGAGCAGGTTTCTTATTTTTGGAAAATTTGTCGGTTGAACTTATCTTCGGAGAATTATAAAAATGACAACGATGTAACCAAGATAAACACAAGGAAATACATTTCCCCTCTGAATAAAAATAGGGGTCAGAGGAATGTAACCGTAAAGTGAGGCAAAGACCTCATCAAGTAATCGCGTGACAGTAAGAAAATTTGATTTCCATTGTCATGGTCAAGTGAAGATTTTTATTGTACGAATGTAACGATTACATATTCAAATTCTAGGAAACAAACGAAGCGATGAATCGATCGTCATTCGTCTCCCGTCTCTCGTCTCGTCGAATTTCTCGTTTGTTAAAGTACTGTACAGTTATCTACAAATCAGTTAGTTTTACACCTCAGCCGAAGGAAAGGAACTGTAGCTGTGGATGAATTTTCCCAAGCGATTTGAGTAACAGATTGGTTGAATCCTTACCTCTGTGTTCCAGGTAAGACTTAGAGCAGCGGTTTGGAAGATATTTTGATGACAGTCGTTGTTTGTAGTACCCTCAATGGTAGAGATGTCCCAAACAACCTGCTTCAGATCATCGTTGAAACAGTCGTATGTGATTCTGATAAATAGCGAAAGCGAAGCAAGATTAAGGTTAATAGAATCTGAATAAAACGTAAGGGTTCAAGATGTTGGATAAACATTCGAGCACACGGTCGGTAGCTTTCGGTTTCTCGGAAATGTTGATGAGAAAATTCAGAACGCTTAAACTATTGTCAAAACATTTGGAAAGAGACGCACTCGGGAAAAAATTCGGCTCGGGGGCTCGGGAGCTCGGTATGCTTGCATGTGAACCATTTTCAGAGCAAACTAAGAGTGTCGTGAAGCAAGCTGTGAAATGTTGATCAAGATCGAGGTTGTAGTATTTCCGAAGGTTGCTTGTCTTCATAAATCTACCGCTTTAATCTGTCTCTTATCGGCTGTTAATCATGTCTAACGCAGCTAAGTGTGTTTCACATTGTGCAGACGTTCGTAATTTGATTTTAACGTTTATACAGTCACATTGACTCTTAATGAAGAGTTTACGCATTAACTCGGTGTTAAAAATATTTCACCATGTTTACTGTTATAGCAATGGGTGAATTAAATCTAAGGATGCTGAGTAAAACTTTCAAATCACCGCAATCGAGAGGGCATCCCTCTTTCTGTCTCTTGAATATTGATTGTGTGAAATCCAAGTCATGAGTTTCATTTTCACTTTCACTTAACGAAGAGAAATTCCCTCTGCTTCCGGTCGCTTTCAGCAAGGAATTAGTTTCCCTTTTTATACCAAATGTCTATTCAAATTGAGTCGCAGCTAAATTCTTTAATTTGAACTTAAGATTGTCATGCAAGACATAAATTATCACGGAAAGAAGCTCATTAGAGATGAAGGTGTGTAAAGAAACCTCCGATTTTTTCTTTTGTATTGTGGCTTGTTTAACTTGAACTTCAACTGATAAGTTTGGAAAATGAACTGATCGCTGAAGCGCTCGGGAAAGACAAATAATATTTTCTTTTGTGTTCTTTTTTAGCTATGGAGGTTCCTCAAGGCCAGACAGATCAAGATCGTGAACAAGACAGCTCTCCAGGTTTGAAAACACTGAATATGAACATTAGCACAATTCTACAATGCAACCTTTCATGCTTAGAGTAGAACTACCACATATTTGAAAGTTCACTGTAAATATTGATCATGACCTTAAATTTTGTTTGAAAGTAAAATTAGTACAACGACATGAGGATGGAGGAACATGAAACTTAATCGTGCTGAAAATATTACGTGGCTTTCAGAGCAGTTAATTAGAGCCTAACCGGAAAAAAACTGCGGGCTAGTCTGCTATCTTTTGGTGGATATTTTCACCTCATTTTAAAGAAATGTATCACTAGCCAGGAACAAGGTTATACCCCATTCAAAACAAAGCTTAAGTGTGTCCACGAGAGCACCAGGCAGTCGTGCTACATACCGTTTCATCGATTTCAGTGAAATTTGGCCAGTTTAAAGGATCTACCCCAAACTCAAAAAAGACAAATTGGTTTCTGTTTTGGTTTTTCCGGGGAGAGATAGACAACCCCCCTCGGTTTTTCTTGGTTTTACCAGGGAAATCGCTTCAAAATAGGCAAAATGTATGAAGCTTTCACTGCCATGGTATTTAACCAATTACTCTGAGGGTTTGCACACATATTATTACATCCTTATTACCGCCATCGAACATTTCCATGCAGAACTCCGCCAAACTAACTGTTGCGTGACCCGTAGACTTTCCGTAGGAATTGCTCAAGCGCGTTGTTCATGCTGTCTGCTAGATAAAAACTTCAGAATAATCTGCAGATCTCTATGATTATTTGCTTCCTTCTCTCGTAAAATACTGTATTTTTTTAAAGCATTTTATGACACATATAAATCCACATCTCTCTCGATCGAGTGTTGCCGGCGTTTGATTGCGTGACTAGTAAAATTTATTAATCATTAACTAAAATAAAATAATAATTAGAAAAATATCTCAGTGAATTTAAGGGGTGTATTAAAGGAAAAAGAACTGTAGCCCTCATTCATTAAAAAGCCCGAATAAAAGTGAAATAAATGTGATTTTATTGAAAGTTTTTTTATGAAAGCTCATAGCAAAATCTAAATTTCTGTTAAGTTCGAATGTGATTTTTTCCTTGTAATCTGTAATAAGTCTAGTAATAAGTCTAGTCGTCAACGCTTCATTCATAGTTTGACCTTTGAGCTGTCGACTGAAGTAACGCAATCGTATCGTTATGCCGTAATAAATGACTTTTGAAAATGTTTTAAGGATCTATTAATTAAATTAATTTTGCATGACCGTTACACACATTTGCTCGCGGGTATCGCGCAAAATTATTCAACCTAGTTTACTCAACATTTTGCGTCGATGAACAAGATAATTTCTCAAATCACCGCTCAAATTTACAGCCGATAATCATGTAGCATGTCCCAAGTTAGAGGAATGATGCATCTTATGCACTTATCAGCGGCCATCACGGGGGTTGACCCCGGGGACATACTGGGGAATAGCGCGGAATTTGCTGACTTTTGTCGCCAGTTTTTGGCCCGGGACGGGGTATTACCGTTGAACGGCTTCCAAAATGGCGACGGAGAAAAAGGTAAACGTGTCTTACGTTTCTCTTGTAAATCTGTCCCCTTTTGTTTGTCATCCTTCCCTAACATAGCGAAAACATTTTTCGCATGAAATCTATGATCTCTTCCATGCTAATCTTTTGATGATTAGGTGTTGAATATTTATATTGCCATCTGCTTGAATAATTCATATTTTGCTAGCTATATATATTATTGTTAAACTTTTATTAAAAATTATGCAGGAAATTACGTTACAATTTGGAATTCCTTTCAAATTATGCTCTCCGGGTGGGGGACAGTAGAAGCTTTTTGTGGAAAAATATTGGCCCTGGATAGGTGGAATTTGCAAATGTCTTGGTGCAAATGCCCGGGGGTTCTCTTGGGTCAACCCCACGGGAAGGCCGCTGATAAGTGCATTATCTCAGAAAATTCCCAATGATTATAAATTCATTCTTAAACCAACAACACCAAATTTGGCTTACCTTTAACAATAACTTGCCTCTCAAGAACGCCATCTTCACCAGTAACATGTGAGACGAACAGACATATGATACACTCCCCATAGATCAAGTGTCAGGGGATAAACTTGATTCACTTGAGTCGATAGTCGTCAGTACCACAAAGTAGTTTCCTTTGCGGAATGTCAGTCAGCCCTATAGTTCTTTTTCCTTTAGCATTTCCTATAAAATTCACCTTAATATTTTTCCTAGCCAATCATATTTTTATTTTAGTTAATGATTGATTTTTTTTCGCTTTTTCACTCGTGGTCATTCGTGGTGACTCGTGGTGACTCGTGGTGACTCGTGGTGACTCGTGGTGACTTGTGGTCACTCGTGGTCACGCGTGGTCACTCG